GGAGCGGTCCCAGGCACTTCCGTTCGGGTGGCCAGGTTGCTGCCAGTTCTGTGTCAGTGGTGAGTGGGTTCTGGTTTCGAGACCCTTCTGAACTTCCCTGGGTCCCAGTACCACCGGCCATTGATTTGGGGAAAAGAGCTGCGTCAGACAGCGGTCACTTGAGGGCTGGAGTGGCGTCTCCCTCCAGGGACCCTATTTGCGTTTGGGGCTGTTGTGCTGTGCATGGGCTGGTGGAGGGTCTCCCGGACTCTTAGCCTGCGGTCCTGCCCCCCTCCCCGCCCCAGGCAGCCCACCTTACCCTCGCTCTGCCTTTTCACTCTGTGAACATTGGGCGACGTAACATTTCTGTGTCCAATTTTTTTTTTTTTATTGTAAACTTGGGATGACATTCCTACCATCCCGTAATACAGTGGTTTGAGTTAAACAAGATGGGTTAAATAAAGCCTTAAGGACAGTTCCTGCCACCTGGTGAATGTTGATCTCTTGGTATTAGTCTTTAATTTTGTTAAGTGCTTAGTAACCTGAAAGCCATGAATATGGGACGGGGCGAGAGCTCCAGCTGCAGTGACTCCTGGCATTTCTCTTTGATCCCAATCGAAAGCTGGATAGTTCCCAACTCCTTCTGAAGAGTTACTCCTGTGAAAATTAATGAGAAAACCTTTAGAATGGCGTCACACTCTTATCGCTCTCGTCAATGGTAGACCCAATTGGACGGGACCACCGTGCAGGCTGATACCACTTTAACTATTCGATATTAACCCAGAGGGAAAAAGAATGGCTTTCCTCCCCCAGCCCTGCATCAGCCCAGCCGATGAGAAATTGTCAAAACTCAGCCAATGAAAAGCCACCATACTTCCAAGTCACAGTTAATCCAATGGACTTTTTGTTTATGGCAGCCTATCCAGTTTCTCCCTTTCCTCTGTCAAAGAATGGCCCTCGCCTTTGTTCTGCGGACTTGCCTGTGGTTTTTGCCATATCTTGCTTGTCCTGGATTGCAGCACTCTGCTATTCCAGTAAAATAACTGGCAGTTTTATTTTTAAGGTTAACATTCCGAAACCATTTCTGGCTAGAAAATAAGGTCTCAAGGAGGGCAGAATATCTCATGATCTCTCAGGGACAAAGACTTAATTGTGGTATTTCAGAGCCTCCTCTCTTTCCTTGGTCTGTGACACACACACACAAGATTGCGTTTCTTGGTGCACAATTGCCACTTAAGTGGTTATGTCTAAAAATTGCTGATATTCTTGGAGTTATGTATGATGAGTTGAAGATCCCAAGACCTAGCTGCTGTCAGCTGTCATCTGTCCTTTCCTTTTTTTTTTTTCTTCACACATCTCTTTTTTTCGAAGAATTTGGGATTGTGCTGCAGAATCCCAGATACTTCTTCGTATCTTCTAAATATTTGTATTGGTAGCAAATATTCAACTGAAAACGTGAAGATTTCATTGGCTTTATTAAGCGATTAGTAAATTACGTGAAGATTTCATTGGCTTTATTAAACAATTTGTAAATTGGGCGGCATCCCATAAAACAAATAGGAGGGTACAAAATGTAAGGTTTGTATGGGGAGGGGGGTGGGGCAAGGAAGTTATTAGCAAGTGGAAAGAAAGGATTGTTCAGGCAGGGTCACTTTTTCTTAAGAGAAAAGAGCAGGGGATCTTATGCATCTTGGGGGGATGGAGAGGGCCTGTGTGACAGATTACTCACCTGGTGTTTATCAGAGAATTCCTGAGTTTCTGGGGGAGGTTGAAACTGCATTTAGGTTAGGCATAACCAGTTTGGTCACTTGGCCTAAGTGACAGCATTTAGGGCTGTGTTTTTTTTTTAAACAGTACCCATTTCCTAGAAACAAGGATATTCCCTTCTATAGTTACGATAATCAGGGTCAAAATCAGGAAATGACATTGTTCTTATGCTGTTATCTAACCCACGGTCCATGTTTAAATTTGTTTTTCTTAATGTCTATTTTTTGAGAGAGAGAGAGAGAGAGAACGCAAACTGGGGAGGAACAGAGAGAAAGAGGGAGACAGAGAATCTGAAGCAGGCTCCAGGGTCTGAGCTGTGAGCACAGTCCGATGTGGGGCTCAAACACGAGCCATGAGATCTTGACCTGAGCTGAAGTCAGATGCTTAACCCACTGAGCCACCCAGGTGCTCCTGTTCTGATCTTCATTTTAAATCCTTATTCACTATTTCCTCCTAATTAAAGCCAGTTTTGTGGACTTCTTTTTTGCTGCCACGTTTCTATTGACTCCTTTAATCTGGAATGATTCCTTCATTTTGATCATGATGTTTTTGTTCATGATGTGTAGGCAAACTATATTGGAGAAAGACCATCTTGTGACATTTGCGTGATGTATTTCATGGTTTGATTCCGATTATGCATTGTTGGCAGCATTTCCACAAAAGTGGCCAGGTGTCCTTCTCAGTCAACAGTAACAGGAGCTGAAGGATGTATTTATTTCGTGTTTTGGCTTTATATTGATGATGTCAATTCTGTTTCTTGGTGAAGGATTTGTCTGAGCCATTTTTACACTGAAGTTACTGTTTTTCTTTCTGTGATTGAAGTTTCCTGTGGGGACCCATTTTTATTAATGGGCTTTCTACTCTAGAGATGAGCATCCCCTTCCTCCTATTTGTTTAGTCACTCAGTCAAATATGTATTCTCTATTTATATGGACTCTGAGTCCAGTTTTGTTCATTTAAATGAGACATAGCTTATCAGACAACTCTTGAAAAAAAAGTTCCATCTGTATTCTGTATATATCGGCATTTCCCCTTTGCGTGTGTTCAATTCAGGAATTTTCGTAACATTAAGTGGTGCACATGTCCCCCTATTCAGGTTTAGAACATTTTCATTCCTACAGTGAAGCCCCTTATTACCATTTATAGTTGATCCCTGTTCTCAACAACCGCAGGTAGCCACTACTTATTTTCTGTCGCTATATTATGAACCACTTATATATTTACTTATTTCCCTTTTTACAAAGTTTTTATTTCAATTCTAGTTACTTAACATACAGTGTAATATTAGTTTCAGGAATAGAATTTAGTTACTCTTCATTTACATACAACACCCAGTGCTCATCACAAAAAGTGCCCTCCCTGATACCCATCACCCATTTAACACATCCTGCCACTCCCCTCCTCCCCAGCAACTCTCAGTTTGTTCTCCAATTAAGAGTGTCTTTTAGGGCGCCTGGGGGGCTCAGTCGGTTAAGCGTCCAACTTCGGCTCAAGTCATGATCTCACGGTTCGTGAGTTCAAGCTCCACGTCAGGCTCTGTGCTGACAGCTCAGAGCCTGCAGCTACTTCAGATTCTGTGTCCCTCTCTCCCTCTGCTCCTTTCCTGCTCATTCACTGTCTCTCTCTCTCTCTCTCAAGGATAAGTAAACATTTTTTAAAAATTTTAAAAAAGAGTCTCTTTTATAGTTTGCCTCTATCTCTCCCCACCCCCATGTTCATCTGCTTTGTTTCTTAAATTCCCTATTGAGTGAAATCATATGGTATTTGAGTGGCTTATTTCACTTAGCATAATACCTTCTAGTTCCATCCATGTAGTCGCAAATGGCAAGATTTTGTTCTGATTGCCGAGTAATACTCTATTATACATATATACCACATCTTCTTTATCCACTCATCCATCGATGGGCATTTGAGCTCTTTCTATACTTTGGCCATCTTTGATAATGCTGCTGTAAACATCAGGGTGCATGTATCCCTTTGAATCACTATTTTTGTATCCCTGGAGTAAATACCTTGTAGTGCAGTTGCTAGGTATAGGGTAGTTCTATTTTTTCTTTAATTTTTTTAATGTTTATTTATTTTTGAGAGAGAGAGAGAGACCGAGCGTGAGCATGGGAGGGGCAGAGAGAGATGGAGACACAGAATCCGAAGCAGGCTCCAGGCTTTGAGCTGTCAGCACAGAGCCTGATGCAGGGCTCAAACTCAGGAGCTATGAAATCATGACCTGAGCCAAAGTTTGACACGTACCAACTGAGCCACCTAGTCATCCCAGTTCTATTTTTTTAATGTTTGTTTATTTTTGAGAGAGGGAGAAAGAGAGAGAACACGTGGGGAAGGTGCAGAGAGAGAGAGGGATTCAGAGGATCTGAAGCAGGCGCTGTGCTGACAACAGAGGGGCCCGAAGCGGGGTTCAAACTCAAGAACTATGAGATCACAGCCTGAGCTGAAGTTGGACGCTCAAAACAACTGAGCCACCCAGGCGCCCCAGTAGTTCTATTTTTAAAATTTGAAGCACCTTTATACTGTTTTCCAGGATGACTGCACCTGTTTGCAGTCCCACCAACAATGTAAGAGGGTTCCCCTTTCTCCACATCCTCACCAACACCTGTTGCTTATTGTGTTCTTAATTTTAGCCCTGCTGACAAATGGCGGTATCTCATTGTAGTTTTGACTTGTGTTTTCCTAATGATGAATGATATTGAGCATCTTTTCATGCTTCTTTTAGCCATCTGTATGTCTTCTTTTTTTCTCCAAAAATCAATTCTCCATATAAGCTGCCTACTTTTTGTGTACTAGCAGCTCAATAATGAAAACGTGCACTTGATACATGCCATTTTAGCATTTTGTAGACAGAATATTCAAATACAGCACAGTGCAGCAGGCTTGAACCACTGCTTTATGCAAATATTGTTGGAGATCTTCATGCAGGAAGAGTTAGTCTGTCTTTCCTGTCTCTGAGTCATACTCTGCATGTCTCTTGCTGGTGTACTTTTATAAAAAAAAGTTTTAAAGATTTTTTTTATTTTTATTTATTTTTGTATTGTAATTATTTATTTATTTTGAGAGAAAGAGAGGGAAGGGCAGAGAGGGAGAGAGAAAGAGTCCCAAGCAGGCTCTGCTCTGCACAGAGCTCAGCATGGGGCTCGAACCCATGAAATGGTGAGATCATGACCTGAGCCGAAACCAAGAGTCGGACACTTAACCCACTGAGCCACCCAGGTGCCCCTGGTCTACTCTTATTCCTTCATGTGTTGATGAGTCTTCTCAAAGTAACATATAACCTTAGGTTTGTGTATTTGTTTTTCAATAATAGATTTTATTTTTTAGGGCAGTTTAGCATTGGCAGTAAAATCCAGCAGAAAGTACAGAGATTTCCCATGTACCCCTGTCCCCACACAGCCACAGTCTCTCTCCCATCGTCAACATCCCCCACCAGAGTGAGGCACTTGTTACAATCGGTGAACCTGTATTGGGACATCGTTATCACTCAGAGTCCCTAGATTACGTTAATATTCACTCTTGATGTTCTTTCTGTTGCTCTGGTCAACTTTGGACAACATAATGATATGGCTTGGCCCCACCATTATAGCATCATACAGAGTCATCTCACTGCTCTAAAAATCCTGCGTTCCACCTATGGACCCCTCCCTTCCCCTCACCCCTGGCAACCACTGATACTTTTACAGTCTCCACAGTTTTACCTTTTCCAGGATGTCATATGGTTGGCTTTCAGATGGGCTTCTTTTACTCAGTAATATGAGTTTAAGGTAAAAACATGTCTTTTTGTGGCTTGATGGTTCTTTTTTTCCCCTCTTAAATTATATTCTGGTATGGGGCACCTGGGTGACTCAGTCAGTTGCTTGAGCATTTGACTTTGGGTCATGTCATGATCTCATGGTTCATGGGTTTGGGCCCCGTGTTGGGCTCTGTGCTGATAGCTCGGAGCCTGGAACCTACTTCAGATTCTGGGTCTCTCTCTCTCTCTCTCTCTCTCTCTCTCTGTATCTCCCTGCCCCTCCCCTGCTCACTTGCCCGCCTGTGTGTGTGCACGCTTTCTCTCTCTCTTTCAAAACTGAGTAAACATTAAAAAAACATTTTAAATTATATTCTGGTATGGATATGCACGGTTTATCCATTCACCACCTAAGGGACAGCTTGGTTGCCTCCAGCTATACACTAAGGTGTAACTTTAGTTTAAAACATCCAGTCTTGCTGGATTTGCCAGGCACTTAGTTCTATCTCTGCATTTACTCCTTAGAGCTGCTGTATCAAGAGGTTCTTGATCGCATCTTCCACTTACATATATAAAATATAAGAAACCTCAAGTTCACGCGGGAGGCCAAGGGTCAAGAACGTTAGCCATTTATTCTATTGAATAAAAGTGACAGATAAGAAGATAGTATCTTAGCGCTGTCCCTCTCAGCAAAGGTTGGTTGTAAGATTGAGGTTATGTGCGCTTGGTGTTGTAGGAGGCAGTGACATTCAAGGACGTGGCCGTGGTCTTCACGGAGGAGGAGCTGGGGCTGCTGGACCCCGCTCAGAGGGAGCTGTACCGAGACGTGATGCTGGAGAACTTCGGGAATCTGGTCTCTGTGGGTGAGGACATGAGCTCTCTGTCACTGAATGTTAAGTCTCCAGGAGTAGCTTTGTATCCTTGGGTTTTCGAGGCTTTGGGACCCTTGAAATGGTTCTCTGAGTTTGGGGATCTGACTTTCCTAATATCTGTGGACACACGGGGAGCATTATTTTATTTTTTTATTAGTAGGCAAGTTTTTGTTTTGTTGAAGAATGAAATGGATGGTATACAGCTCTACCGTTTGTATTTCTGACCCTATCATGAGTTATAAAACCAGTACAGGGAGCCCTATTATCAGCTTTTAATGAAACACACAAACAAGATAGTAGCAAGCTTCTCCCACTCTTCCAAGAAATTAAAGAAGAGTAAGTACTTCCTAACTCATATATGTGTAGGAGACCTGGCAATTGGTATCTCTTCAAATGGCTTATGAAAACAGAAAGTTTGAAAAGCACTGCTTCTGATTGCTTGAAGAGTATGTACTGGGAACCTAATTCTCCAGTGAATTGTACCTAGAACACGTGTGACTTTGTGTGCTCGCAGGGCATCAGCCGTTCAAACGAGATATGGTCCACTTGGTAAGGGAAGGAAAGTTTTGGATGATGAAGCTAGTAGCCCAAAGAAAAGGCAGCTCAGGTAAGATCCAAGTAACTGAGTCTTGGAGGCAACTCTTCCGTCTGTTTCACATGTTCCCATGCTCATTTCCATCGCCTTGTCCTAAACTGCCAAACCTCCTTCCTGGTTGATTACAACAGCCTTTTTATGGGTTGTCCTGCTTCCACCCTTCCTACCCTACGTCCGTTACCCACCAGGGCAGCCAAGGTGATCCTTAGGAGGTGGAAGTGACATTGCCATTCCTCTGTTCAAAATCCATTATGGCTTCTGGGGCACCTGGGTGGCTCAGTTGGTTGCGCATCCGACTTCGGCTCAGGTCTTTCTCTTGCTCAAAAATAAAATAAAAATATTAAAACAATTTTTAAAAATCCATTACAGCTTCTTCCCCCCTCAAAGTTAAAAAACATTTAAAGTGGCTTTCTTTTATTTATTTAAAAAGTTTTTTTCAAATACCATATGTTTGCATGTATAGGAGGATTAGGAGGAACTTGACGGAGGAACAAGGGGGAGAAGAAGGGGGGAAATGGTGGGGGAAAGGGATAGAGGCAAACCATGAGAGACTCTTGAATGCTGACAAAAAAGAAGGACAAATATCATATGTGTGCACGTATAGGGGGA